CCAAAAAATATAGTGGGGTAGCTGGGGCGAGTGGGGAGCTCTGGGGGCCAAGATCTACTCGAGATGGGGAAAACGAGGACCTCAGAGGGCCATAAGGAACCCAGACATGAGAGGAGTCCTCCCAGCCCACCGGAGGCCTCAGCCCCTGCTCCTCCTTCCCTCCCTCAGCCGGTCATCAACAACCTTTGTAAAGGACCCACTGTGCGCCTGACTCTGCTCTGGGCGCCGGGGCTTCAGCAGTCCCACGGTGTTGGGTTTAGATTTCAGAGTAGGAAATGGACAACATTAAGAGAACAACTTAGCAGATATATTGATGTGTTATATAGTAGATAAAGTCATTGTTAAGCTACGCAGAAAAATAAATTGGAATAAAAGGCCCAGAGGGACAGAGTTGGGGAGCAGCTAGTGGTACACGGGGCCTCTCCGAAGAGGAGATTTGGAGGTGCGTCTCCAGTGGGTCAGTCCTGGAGGAGGCTCCTGGGCGCCTGAGGATGAATCCCTTGTTTAGGCTGAGGGGCAGAAGGAGCCACTGAAGAGAGCTGCCTGTTCCTCAGCCCCTTAGAGAAGAAAGAAACCCAATATTTATTATTCACCATCCTCGGTCTGGCATTCTGTCAGCACTGTTCTCATTTAACGCTGACAACTCCCTATGAGATATAAAGCATCATCTCCACCTTGCACGAAGTAGAGGAGGCTCAGAGATCACTGGCAGCTGACATGTTTTCTGTTGCTCCCTCTCTTTTAAAAGACTTTGACCCCAAATCACTTTCCAAAATGCCCTTGGGGAAATGGAGATGACTAAGGCTGGGAAGTGACTCCTGTGACAGGGAAAACCCGTCATGTTCCCACAGGTGGCACCTATGATCTTGGGGTGCGGGTGGGCCAGGCCAAGAAGGACTTGGTGTCATCACCCTGCAGTTTGGAACCTCCGGTATCTCCACTGACACAAGGTTGCTGCAGCCGGAGGGTCCCTGCCTGGCGGTGCCCAGGAGTGCAAGCTCTCCTAGGACCTCAACGTCTCCTCCGGTGGCCTCCCAAGGGAGCCACCTGGGTTGGGAAGAGAGGGGAGCCCTAGCCATGCACACTTTATCCCCAACTAAGCTCAGGGATTGCGAAGTAGATTAAGGGCATTCACTCACGAAGATGCCTACTTAACCTGGATCCCCAAAATCCGGTCTGCACACCAACAGAGGCGCGGGCTCCTGGCCCACGGGTGTGGGGCGGGGCAGGGCCCCCTCCCTCACCGACCGACTTCTTGCCTTAGTATCAGCACCGCCGCCAGGGGGCGCGCCAGGGCCGGACGATGGAGAGGCTGGCAAGCTGGGGCGCTTAGCTGTGTTCCACTGACATTTGTTGCTCGCCCAAATGCTCACCCTGTGCAGGCTATGGGCATTTCCAGGACGCTACCTCTACGCTGGGCAGTTTAGAGAAATCTTGTTCAATTAATTCCTGCGCCCACCACCCCACGCTATGGCCCTCCTGCCTCCAGGTTGCCCAGCTTTCTAGTGGCCTCCAAGGAGCTCGCTTGAAACCGTCTGCGGCTCCTATAGCTCACAGAAGAAAGTTCAAAGCCCCCTTCTGTGGGTCGGAGAGTGCGGAGCCCCCGCGCGCCCGCTCCGTGCGTTCTCCGCGTGCATTAGGCCTTGGCCTTCCGCACTGCTGCTCGCCTCCCCTGCAGCAGCTCCCCTCTGTTCACCCTCAGGCTGGTCCGCGCCCGGCACCCAGCAGCCATCCGGCCTGTTCCCAGCGACACAGCACGGCACAGCGCTTGATCGGAGATTTCCTCCTCCCTCCGCGCGACAGACGGGTAGCCCCCTGCGGGCGGCCGGGGGCCTGGCCGCCGGGTTCTTTGTCTCGGCGGTGCCTCCGCAGGGGGCGCGGTGGAGCGGCGCTGAATCCACAGCGGCCGACTGCGTGCCCCTGGGGAGCGCACATCAAAAGGAACCTGGGGGCAGCTAGAGAGGTGGGGGTGGGATGGAGATAGGCAATCAGTCTGCAGATGGGCAGGTCGGAGGTCCCCGACGTTCACACACAGAACACAAAGTGCTTCCCACGTGCCAGCCCCCAGCCCCCAGGCCACTGGCCCTCGCGGCCTACTTTGCCCTTTTTCAAGAGGCCACCTTCCCATTCAGGGTCCACCTCTCGCTCTTGAGGCCTTGGCGTAAATTTAACCCTTTCCCTATCGAGTGCAACCCACCCTGCGGTCCGGGGTGCCTATTTGAGAGGTGTTTCCGTTTGTGACACGTGGCGCGGGGGCGCCCTCCCCCTCCCGTCAGGGACCATTCCTGTGTTCCAACCCGCAGCGCTGGGCAGGCAGGAGGAAGGAAATTAAGCCTGTGTTGAAGGAAGGACACCTGGCAGGGGAGGAGAAAGGCATCAGGAATCCCCTCCTCTGGGGAGCTTTCAAGTGGGGGGGAAATCCCCACACATGCTTCCATTCTCCAGGGGCCATGCGGGGCCACACACGTTCCCACACTGCTGCAGTCCTCTATGTCCTCAGGCTGCGGCCAGCACAAGTCTGGGTTACCCCCTCCCACCCACTTGTTGGCCGGCCTCCTTTCCATTCCCTGCCTGGTGTTCCAGACCTGGGTCTCTGGTGCTCCCAGGCTGCCTGGAGCAGGCATCAGATACATGTGTCCCTTTAGGGAATGACCAGTCTTACCTACATGGCTCCGGACTACTAGATGGGCATCTCTCTGCCAACCGCCACCCCACACACAGCCTCAGAAATCTTTTGCCCCCACTGCCCAGGGATGGCACCTGTGGAATCTTGGGGACCCCAAGAGGTCATCTAGTGCAGCGCCCACCTCCCAGCCACACTAAATTTATAGTGGTGTCTTGGTGTCCAGGGAAGGTAGTCCTCCTCAGCTCTCAGAAAGATGACTATGAGGCTCTGGAGTGCCCCACACTGTTCAGGGAGGATTTGAGTTCCAGTTGGCACCTCTGATCAGAAAACCAGCTGAGAGCCCCTGCTGGGTAGGATAGAAGTCCAGGGGAGACCTAGCAGGCCATTAGGGGTGTGTGTGTAGAGCTCTCTACCCCTGAGCTGGAGTTCTGGGGCTCGGCCGTTAGGGACAATGGCAAATCCACTGTGACCTTCTTTCCGGGGAATCAGAAACAAGGAACCTAGAGTGAGCCCACCACTACGGCATCTCCACAGCCTCCAGCCCATTCACTGTCCCTGGGCAGGTTAGAGCTTTTTCTTCTGCTCATCCTTCCCCTTCTCCGCCTCTCCCCTTCCCCCCTTCCCTCTTTTTTCTCCTTGGATGCCCTCTGCTAGCCTCTTCTCCTCTTCCCTCTGTCTCTGTCTGTTTCTCTTGGTCTCTCAACTAGCATCTCTCTCTCTCTTTTCTACACTCAGTTTCTCCCTTTTCTTTCCTTCCCTCCTCTCTTTCATCTTTCCCCGGACCCCACCCCCTCCAGTCGGGCTAGGAACGCAGCAGAAGCCGTGACAAGCCCAGGCGGCTCTCCCGACCCTTGGTGCCCGGGGGCCAGTTCCCCGAGCTCCCCGCGCCCACAGCAGCCGTGCGGAGAGAGCTGTCAGGATGCGCAGGGCCAGCGGGTTTGAGCTGTGGGCATGGGTGGCCCAGATCAAAGGCCAGAAATGTCTGGCCCCCTGGGATGGACTTCCTCCAGTTGTGCCCCCACCTGGTGAAAAGCCCACGTTCTTAGGCCTCAGCAGGACTTGGGGCTGCCCCTTCTGCTGCGGTTCTCTGAGCAGTGGCCCTTGCCCGCCTCTCACTGGCTTTGCTTGCTTCACCCCAGGCCCAGGGCTGCTGCTTGGTCCGGAGTGCCTCTGGGGGCCTTGGGTGGCCAGGGAGGAGGCTTGGAGGGGCAGGGCACCCAGGTGACAGGGGCAAGTCCCTCCAAGATCTGCCCTCTATTTGAGCCCCCCTCAGGGCTGAGACTCCTTGACTTTGTAGAGGGAGAGGACAAAATAACCCACTGGAACTTGGAAGGACTTTTTACCTTGGTGAGGGTGGGGTATTTGGGTGCATTTGGCGTCCCGGGAGAAAAGGAGTTGTCACCAAACTCCAGGTTGAAGCCAAGGGCAGGAGAGTTGGGGAGGAGGGGTGTGTCTGGAGGGCAGCTGGGTCTTCCGAGGACCCCGGCTGCTTTCTGCGTTTCACCCAGCCCACAACAGTTCATCCACAAGATCCAGATGGGACTGCGGGTCGTGCTTCTGACCTGAGCTGGAGGCCGGGCCTGAACCCCTTGAGGAGAAAGTGACCCGGCTCCGGAGCAGGAAATGCAACTGACTGCTGGTGTCAGTTGCAGGAAATGCAAAGGCAGCAGGAGGTCCCGATACCGATCTGATCCCTGACAAAAGACTCAAATGACACTCGGCTCTGTCCCCCGGCGCCGCCCGCAGCCAGACCTCCGAGCCTCGGCAGACCCCTCTGCGCGCCTCTCGGACACCCGGGAAGCGACCTCCCGTGGCCGGGTCGAGTGGCTGGTGGTTCTCGGGCTCGGGAGGCTGGAGGCTGGGAGGGGTTGTATTTCCCCACCCCCTCCGCGACCCTCGGAGCCTGTCCTGCCGGAGTGAGGCTTCTGGAAACATCTCTGTGCTTTCTACTGTCGATTCCTCAAGGGCCCAAGTCCCAAAGAGGTCACGGTCCCCCGAGAGAAAAGGAGACACCCATCCATGCCCATGCCGACCCGGCACCACGTGAACGCCCCCGTCAAAGCTCCAGCTCCCTTAACCTGGCTGGCGGGGTGCCGCGGCGGTCCTGGGCCAGCAAGAGGGTCCAACGTGCCGTGCACCCCTACCCAAGTTCTCACTGTGTCCGGGGCGCGGGCTTTGCCCAAGTTTGCTGGGCGATGCCCTTCCCGGAGCCGACTCGTGGGCCGGGCGGGAGGGGCGCGTGATTGACAGGCTGAACTACAGACTCATCTCTTACCTTAGGCCGCGGGCGCTGATTGGCTGCTCGCTGACATCCTCAAACCCGGCTGCTCCGCGCTGGGCTCGGAGGGGGGCGGCTGCGGGTGGAGGTGCGCTTCTGACAAGCCCGAAAGTCATTTCCAATCTCAAGTGGACTTTGTTCCAACTATTGGGGGCGTCGCTCCCCCTCTTCATGGTCGGGGGCAAACTTCCTCCTCGGCGCCGCTTCTAATGGAGCCCCACCTGCTCGGGCTGCTCCTCGGCCTCCTGCTCTGTGGCACCAGGGTCCTCGCCGGCTACCCAATTTGGTGGTAAGACTCGCCTCTTGTCTGCCCGCGGCCCGATTTCTTCGCCGAGTCCCCGGGAGGTGGGGGCGCCGGCCGGGGGTGGGCTCCGGCAGGGCTGGGGCTCCTTTCTCCTTGCCTCCTTCCAGCCCCCCACCCGCCCACCCCTCCTGGATTTTCTGCTGGTGTCGCCTTCAGTATCCAACTCCTGGTTTCTCTGATAATCACCATTTTCCCTGCTACTCGCTGCAGAGGCTGGAGGACTTTCCCCGTCTCAGAAGGTCTCCTGTTCTTAAATCCTAACCCGACACCCATCCCAATCTGGGGGCCCCAAAGACCCTCCATTTGCTTGCAGTTGGGTTTCTGGAAATACAGCGCTGACCCTGGGGCCCACCCACTCCTCTTCTCCATTTTGGGGTCTTCATGGGCAAAATCATCCTGTTCCTTCCTTGCCACCCCCACCTCTGCCGGCGCCTCCATCAAGAGATTTCCCCACAATAATCCCCGTTTGCCTTCATATTTCAGACCCCAGTGGCTTCAGGGATCCCAGGGGCAGGGGAATGGGGGGGATTTCATCAGACTCTCCCCACTCTGCTCTAGATTAATCTTGAGCCTCAGAAGTGAATGTGGTATTTGCTGATCTGAGATGCCATTGAATTCGGATTTTATTCATTTCTTGCTTGTCCATCCTAGAGAAATGGGGGCTCCTTGAAAATGTTGTTTGGAAGGGGGTGGGTTTGTTCTTCGACCAAAAACCCAATTTTCCATGTTAAATTTGTTCCTTTTGGAAAACCGATGACCGAGGAGAAAGGAAGAGAGGGAAAGGAGAATTCCATCCCTGAGAAATGCGGATACAAAAGACATTTTTAGTAAATAAGGCTAGGAAACCAGGCGCGGTGTTTGGGGGGGAGGGTGTGTTTATGGGGAGCCAACTGAGAAATAAACAGCCCATTGGGAGCCCCAATTCCAGGGAGTCCCCTTGTTTTCCAAGCGGCCCCATCGGCCCCGGGCAGATCCTAGAGGCCAGAGGGGAAAGAACCAGTTCTCTAAATTACACCCGCCTCTCCTCAGTCTCCAGCCCCTGCATTCCGGAAAACTTTAATTAAAGAATCTTCCCCTCCTGGACATAGGACAGTCTGGGCCTGGGGGGTGGGGGGGCTGGAGGTGAGTAGGAAGAATTTAGGATCTGTAAGAAGAGGGGCTTTGGCCCCTGGGGTGAAAGTCAGACAGGAGAACCACCAGGGTGTGGTGCCACCTGCATGTCCCTCTTTCCCCATCTTGCATCTCTTCTCCGGCCCTGGATAGGGGGAGCAGAGCGAGGAGATTGGGGGGCCACACCCCGAGTCTGCCACCAGTTGTTTGGGGGTGGTAGTGTTTATTTCTGGATGTTTGGGGGTTGGGATGGGAGCTGGAGCAGGGCATGGTGGAGGATCTCTGTTTAGAAGGTGCTGAGAGTTGCTCCCAGGACAGACACCCCAGGGGGATCCTTTTTTTCTGCCCAGTCCATCCTTCCCTTGACACTGGGCTGGCCGGAGGACTCCTGTACATAAAGAAGTCTGTGGAGGTGGCCTGGGCAGCCAGGGATTCTGGGCTGGGGGCTTTGCCCACTGCAGGGAAGGCTACTGTGGAAACCAGTCCTGCCTCTGTGGCCCTTCCTGACCCCCTTCCGATCCCCTTGCTAAGGCCATGCTGTTCTTTGCTTTCACAGGGACCCTGACCAGGGGGAGGGTAGAAAGAGAAGGTGTGGAGCCCCACCAGCTGGAGGGATGAGCAGGGAGACCAGGTTGCCCTACACTATGGACTGGAGGAGGCACTTCCTGGGCAGTGCCTATGAGGAGGGTGGGGGTCTGGTGTGTAACGGTGTATTGGGGAGCACTAGATAAGAAACACCCAATAGAAAGATGTTGGAAAAACCTGGAAAGCCAGAACATTGGCCCTAACATAATGCTGGACACTTGGATTGTTTGGGGGTTGGGGGGACATGGATTCTGCTTTGTCTGAGCACAGACCTGTGTGTGTGTGTGTGTGTGTGTGTGTGTGTGTGTGTTTTCTAGGTCTATGACCCTAAGGGGTATCATCTGTACACTAGTGTGTTTCTGTGTGTAGGAGCGTCTGTGCCTGCAACTGGGTGACCGTGGTGTGAATTCGTGTGAGATGTGCCTGGGGGACCCACAGCCTGTGACAGGAGATCCATGGCCTGTGACAGGGTGTGCTGCTGTATCTGCACACAAGTGTCAGCAAGTGGCTGATTCCATGATGTGTGTATTTGAAAGAAAGAGAGAGTCTAGGAGTCTCTATGCCCATGTCAAGGTCAGTACCTGTATCTGCTTATGACACTGCATGACTGTGTTCATGACTGGGCATGCGAGTATTGTGTGCGTGTGTGTGTGTGCATGTGTGCACATGCCTTCATGACAGTGTAAGGGGAAAGCCCCACAGATGTCTTTGTGCATGGATATCAGTGCTCATGGCCATGGCCTGATTGTGCTTGTAAGTATGAGTGTGAGGGTTGTGTCTGGGTCTGCCTATGACCCTGCCTTCAATTGCCAGTGGCCATGGCTTGGCCTGTGGCTATGGATATGTTTGTACACATATGACCTATGGGTGTGAGTGACATCCTGAGATTGGGTGCTTGGTGGGCAGTCATGGTTCTGGAGGGCAGTTCAGCAAGAGACAAAGGTCTAACAAGGAAGCTGCAGGGGGCACAGCTGACCTGGGGTCTGGGCGGGGCAGTGTGGGGTGCAGAGCCTCCTGTCTGCCTGAGCTCTGTGGTCAGGAGTTCTCCCCTCTGAGGCCGATTGTCTCTGGTATTGGAGCTGGAGTAGAGGGTGAGTTACCTTTGCAGGGTTGGGGCCAGGGCCGGGCCCAGCCCAGGCTGGGGACAGTAGAGTGGATGGGCCTCAGATTCCTGTTTCTACTCTGCCTACTCCCCCCCACCCCCAGTCAGGTTCCAGGCCTTTTAGCATCTGAGCCCATCAAGGCTGCCCTTGCCCATTAGGCCCACCCAGCTCACACATTCCCCAGGAGGGATTTACGGGGGAAATCGTTTAGCTGGGATTTCTATCTGTGCCACCCCTCAGGAAGGCACCCCCATCTCAACGCCCTGTACTGCCGGCCTCTGCCCTGAGAGGAGGTAGACCAGAAGGCCATGGGGGTCTCAGAGAGGCTCGCTGAAGGAGGTGTGTTCCAGGCCCTGCAGCCAAGTAGTGGCAGAGCTGGAACAGGAAGAGGTGACAGCAAGCACTGATTTCTATAATTCTTCTTGTCAGTCGCCGTGAGTGCCTGGTGGAGGAACTTGTCTTTCTTCTCCTTCTTGGAGGAAAAATGAACTATCTTATTAGGGCCCAGCCTAGCGCCTACTACATTCCAGAGGCAGAGGCCCTGGTGGAAGGGGCCTGTGCTAGGGGTCAGAGTGCACCCCACTTCTGTGTGACCCACCCATCTGGGCCTGTCTCCTCCCCCTTTCCAGGGGTCACCAGCCTGCCTTACCTCACAGCTAGGGTGGGGGGGAGTGTTCTGCAGAAGTCAAGGGCAGTGAGCTGCGAAATAACACCTGAATTCTCTTTGCACCGTCCTGAGAGCCATTCCCCTACTCAAGCGCCTGCTCAGCCCTGCCTCAGTTTCCCCATCTGTCAGGTGTCCCGCTGCCTCCCCCACCCACTCCTACCTTCACTCCCCTTCCAGAGGCTTGTGAACATGTTCAGTCAAACCCCGTGGGGGTCAGTGGGCTGGGCCCAGGGAGGCACCTGGAGACTGCGGGGGAGGAAGGCCCCCAGGCCAGGTGTTAACACTTGTAACAGGCAGGAATTACAGCTGGCTGGGGCTGGGGCTGGCGAGGAGCTGAGCTGGCTGGAGGCTGTTGATCCCACAGACAGACAGACAGATGAGCAGATACCAGATCGAATGGCCAGGCTTTAAGCGGGTGGTCTCCCTTCCAGGGCAGGTCTTTCCCTGGGGGCATGTGGTAGGGAAATTAATTCAGGTCTCTTGGAAGTGAATTAACAGCCCTCCTGACCACCCCACACCCATTGTGGGCGGAGCTTGATATCCCGAAGGGAGTAAAAGGGGTGGCTGATTTGTTTGTATTCTTCTGATGGGACTACATTTTGCTTAAAAAACAAAACAAAACAAAGACCTGAAACAGGTAAAATTCAATATTAAAAAACAAAACAAAACAAAGACCTGAAACAGGTAAAATACAATAATACCAGGAGCCTGGGGCTGAGTTATGTTCTTGGAAGAACCTGCTTTCATGTGTGGGGAAGGCTTGGGGGAAGGAGCAGCTGTCAGGGAAAGTTCTCCTAGAATTTCATAGCACTTTGTCAACAGCTCTGAGGCTAAGAGGTGAGCCATGGGCAGAGTCTGGTCCTGAGCATCACTCCCACCCCAGGGGTCCTTAGGACCTCAAGTGTGGGGCAACTGCCCAGTAGGAAGACCTTTGTGGGGAAGGTCCAAAGAGGCAGGAGCTGGACCATGACTCCCAGCCCTTTAGCAGGCACTCTCTCCTCCCTCCCTGCAGTTTCCCTAGTGGCACACCCAGCCAGAGCCCACCAGCACCCACACTCTCTGGCATCTGGGTGCATCTCAGTCACTGATGAAGATGGAGAGGGCTCTAGGTGGAAATCCCCAATGAACAGACTCAGCCAAGCAGGTATCTCCCAACCCGCTTTCTACAGAACTTAATGTTGATACACCCGATTAGTACTTGGGCAGATGTAGAATTGAAAAGGTGATATGTATACAAGGTGGGGGAAGGGAACTATGACCCTGGGGCTTTCTCTAGACTTTGAATAGGTCTCTCCTTGGTCTGGGCAAGAGGCAAGGAGACTGAGGTGGGGGAAGGAGAGGTGACTCTTTCCTAGGAGAATGCAGCTAACTAATCCTGGGGAGAGCAGGGAAAAGGAAGACCTTTCTAGACTCAGGATGGGGAGAGCCGGGCATTGAGGAGGACCTGGTCTCCCAGTCTTCTACCCACCCTGCTGTGAGCCACAGAACTCTTCTAAAGCCACCAAGGAGGGAAAGACATT